TAAATCAAAATAAAAAACTAGATCTCATAATTCCAACATATAATGGCACAGGGTAACTATTCTGGTTCAAAAACATAGGTAAGGAAGCATAGTGAGAAAATACTGGACCAAAGCAATACTAAGAATCACCTGAGCAAACTCCAAACTCTGTATCTCTATGTCTAATGTCAAATGCTCTTCAGATCTCTAACTCCTTTCAGCTTTATTGGCTGTAACACACTTCTTTCTCCTCCTGGTCTGATTCCACTCCCTCTTAGCAACTTCCTTCAGCAGGTTTCTCACCGCTCTGACATCCCTAACATCTTGAAGTCTCCAAGGCATTCCAGACTTCGTCACAGATTCACACAATGGTTTCTCTGGTCTCCATTTGAGGACACCCCTGATATGCCTGACAGCGATTTTCCTTAGTCAAGGGGGCAAATTCCATACATAACCCCTTTCTTTTATCGTTAACTCCAGAGCCATGCAGCTAAAACTTACAAGTTCTGTTGCTTACTGGGGCTAGAACATGCCCCCTCCTTATTTAATGACATCTTCAACCAACTTTCTGTTTTCCATGTTTTCCTTCACTGCCTAAACTTAGTTGTCTTCAAACGGATGTATAGACCAGACTGGCCTCAAACTCAGAGATCCACAAGCCTCTGCCTCTGGAGTGCTGATATTAATGGCTTGCACCACACCACACCTGGCTCTAAACTTTTCTTTAATTCCTTTTTATAAATTGGAAGCTTAGATGGGATTTTTGCCCTGAGGTCACCACATCTTTTATTCCATTTCTTAATCTGTTTATCTCCTTCAACACAGGACTTAACTCCTTCCCACTTCCTGGTGTTCCTTTTCTCTGCTCAAGTTGTTCTTTCTCATTATAAATCATTATAATCATTAACTCTAGTGACCACAGGGCAGAGTCTAGACTAGGCTGTTTTGAGATTTCCTCTGCCAAAGGAATCAATCCAAATCTCTTCACTTTAGTCTCAGACAGACTCCTTGGACAAGGGCAAAATGCAGCCACTTTCTTCACCAAAATATCACAAGAAAAATGTAGAAGCAACAATCTTCTCCTCTGAAACCTCTTGACCCCACAGTTAATCAAACCACTTTTAGCATCACTGTCTTCCTTGCTCCTTCTAGCAGTGCTTCATGCATTCAACAACTTTTCTAATCCGCAGTCGCAAGGTCCACATTCCTTCACACAGAAGCAAGGTCAAGTCAATCACAGAAATACCCCACTCCTGGTACCAACTTCTTTCGTAGGTAGGGTTTTTAGTGCTGTGAAATAGACACTATGACCACAGCAATGAAGGAAAACATTAATTAGGGGTGGCTGAAATTTTCAAAGGTTCAGATCATTATCATCATGGTGGGGCACGGCAGCAAGCAGGAAGGCATGGTGCTGGAGAAGTAGCTGAGAGTCCTACATCTTGACTTGCAGACAATAGGAAGTGGTTTACTTCACTGGGTGTGTCTTGAGCATATATGAGACCTCAAGAACTCAAAGCCCACTTTCACACTGACACATTTCCTCCAACAAAGTCTTATCTCCTATTAGTGTTACTCCCTTTGGGGACCATTTTTTTTTCAAATCACCATATTTGGTATATGAGTGAACCATTGTGAACAGTGGGATATTATTTGATAATTTATTTCACACTAAAGTTACTGGATGCATAGTATGGAAGATTTGTACTGGATAGATATTTTTTAAAAAAATTTATATCATCTCTTAAAAAAATAGTCAAGAGGACCACTCTCAGTAAAGAAGGCATAATACTATGTGCAATCAAATTGTAATTCTGTTGAATCCCCCATCCATAGCCTTGTCAGGTGACATATTTATATTTGCTTTGACATTCCATGAATTTTCACCAGTTCAGACATCAATTTTTTTAAATTCTGTTTTCATGCCTGATTTGTTTATATCCAGGAATTTAACAAATGGAACATTTGTTCTATATTCAAGGTGCCTTTGACAAGAATTCATTTCGTAAGCATGTCTTAGAAGAGTAATTTGTGCCAGAACTTGATTTGTCCCATAAGCTGAAATTCTTTTATTAGTTTACCATCCATTAAAGGTATCACAAATCACTTATTGATTTTTTGTGGACATACAAGAAGTATCAGTTACCAAAAGTTTAAGAAATGGGATGATTCAATTATTAAGTATAAAATACGCAAGATGTATTGTAGGCTGTTCACTCTGCCTTTTGCTGAGTTCAAAGTCACTTATTGCACTGCTGTAATGTTTAAGTTATAAGTTTAAATGCAGGCTCTGCATTCTGTTTTATTTACAGTAAAAAGTAATACTATCAAAAGCCTAAAGAGATGGTATTTATTTGTTTTTCTTCAGAACATCACAAACCATCTATAGACTGATTAAAAAGAAAAATGGGGGAGAGAAAATTTGGTAATAGAAAGAGAAAAGAATTCTCCATGGGGGAAAGAAGAATACCGTATAAGAAAATAACTATGCTTGCTATTATGTAATTGTAGAGAACCTCAGGACAGCATTTTAGACAATGTATTTACATTCTTTTTAGAGATACCCTTGAATTTTGTCAGAACTGATGGTTACATTTAAGAACTTAGCTTGCACATTTACATATATATTGAGGTCAGAGCACTTGGTATGCCACCATCGTATTGATGGAACTTGCTTTTAATAATGATTTCTGTAATACCTTGATAAGTATTTTTTTCTGATGGAGATTCAATTTGATTAAAACCATTTTAATTGTACAGCTATTGTTCCAGAGTGACATTCTAATGTTGGTGAATATAATTCATAACTTCTTACTGTTTCATGCAGATTTAATTTCTTTTTACTGTCAGTTGAAGAAAAGAAGCAAAGGCTGATGTATTCAAACTTTTACACTCTTTTCACATATGTAAAAATGTTTTTTTAAGTCTGGCATGATGATACTTATCTGTAATCCCCATACTTATGGTGTAGAGAAATGAGGATCAAGTAAGCTGGATATCTCAAAATATTAATAATAATTTTATAGTTTAAAATACCCTTCGATGTTCTCATTGATTTTGCTATGGCCAAATATAAAATTCACTTTACAGGCATCTGGAGAGACATCTTGTAGAAGACCTAAGTTTAGTTACCAGCATCCAGCTATGTCCTGAGGCTCACAACCATCTGTAACTTCAACACTGGGCTGTCTGACAAGGTCTTCTGGCCTTAATGGGCAAATCAATCAAATGCACACACACATAACTAAAATCTTAAAAGTATAGCTACAAATCCAAATTTCTCATGGAGAAACTGACCCTTGAGAAACAGACTGCCCCACACCTAACAGAAACTCCTTGATGGTTGTGATCTCCAGGAATCATTGTGGAGTGATTGTGGTTATGATCCAGTGATTGTGATCTCAAGGTATCATTGGCTTCCTTGTGCCTCAGCCTTTCTATGCACTTTCTCTAAGCTGTGCATTGTTGCCGTAGCTTAAAAGTCAACATCCCATTGCACTGTTTATTTCAAAGCCTGTGACAAAATATACATCATTTCACTTGAAAACCAACAACAAACACAAGTACAGTCACTCAGAACATCTGCATATACAGAAAATTTCTCCAAATATTTACAAAGGAAGAGAATTGACCCTTATTCCGAATTCCCCCCTTTCTTAAGCATCCCCTGTGTGCATACAGGGAATCAACACCTTACTAGATGGCTTTCCTACGCCTGATCTCAGTGACTGCTTGAATGATCTGTCTGGATGCTGATGAAGCTTAATGATACCCATATAGATGGCTTAATTTTTCTGCTAGATTTCAACCAGGAAATGCCTCGAAGCCATGTCACAAACACAAAGAAAAACATTAATTCTAAAGAAGAGTCAAAAAGTACATCCTGTGTATCAAACCAGAATACCCAGGGTTTGAGGATTGGATGAAGCAATTAATTTCAGTTTTTCTTTGTTGTGCTTTCTCTGAGAGTCAGAATCAGTACACACACACACACACACACACACACACACCATATATATGCCCCATATATAGAATTAAAAGTAAAATGCCCTGGAAGCATTCTGAGTCAGAGGAAATGCTCCCTTCACATTCAGTTTATTCTTCTTTAATTAAGGTAACTTGAGCTAGGTGTTACACTGTATTTCACTTCTCTCTTGGTTACCATAATTAAAGCCATAACTTAATCCTGTGCCTCATTGCAATAAACATCTTTGCCTGAGTGGGAGTATAGTCATCCATCTGCAATCTTATTTCCTCTGTCACTATATTCTGTCTTCATTTTATTTTATTTTGTTCCCTCTGGATCAATATCTTTTTCACAGAAAACCACGTGAAAGGAAAAAATTTAATTGTTCAAAAATAAAAGGTAATAAATATTCAAGATTTACCTGTTGTTGACAAAGAAACCCTGCTTTGGAAATGCTATTTGCAACGATATCAAAACTTCACACTGAATAACGAGTGTCTTAAATCAGTAAAATAAACATCAGCATAGAGGAAAAGTAGATTATTATGATTTTTTCCAAGATATTATTTGGAATTATGGTAAAGGGTTCAAAAATGACTGTGTACAAAATTAGTTTATAAGTTTGAGTGAATGAATCATTAATGGAAATAAGTTTCCTAAATTAGTGGTCCCTAACAATATTGTTAAAAGTTGATACTATAACTTTCTCTCTCTCTCTCTCTCTCTCTCTCTCTCTCTCTCTCTCTCTCACACACACACACACACACACACACACACATACAAACAGAGAGAGAGACAGATACGCACAGTTACATTGCTTTATATATATATATATATGTTCATATCCATATAAATAAATTATTTTCATTTTTCAAACCAATGAAAGAATAAAAGTATAAACTAGGGAATAGAAAAGCTTAAAAGAATGCCTTATACCTCCCCTGTGAGGGCTGTGCAAAAGACCTTAAATCAAAGATGAATATGATTAAAGCAACAAAAATAATTTAAATAAATTTAGCACAAAGGAAAATGTACTGAAAAGATGCTCACTGAATGAAAAGTCAAACAGAACTTTATGAAAACTGGGTCATGACAACACAGATAAGAAAAATGAGTGGACACTGGGTTCACTTAGAGATCTACTAAAGGAATGGATGAATGTCATTGACCTTCCCACATGACCCTTGCACACGAATTGGTAATTCCAGAGGTAGTAATAGCTGAAGTTTTCTCAAGACTGGATCTCAATCTAAAATAGAAAAGGAGAGAGAGTAAAAGACTGGTCAGAAGGAAGGAAAAGAAAAGACTACTCAGGTCAACTAAAAAATGTCAATTAAAGGCAAACAGTCAACAATACTTTATGTACTCTTCTCCAGAAACAAGTTGCGAATTTGTTTGTAATATCACAGTTGTAGATAGCAATTTCTAAGATGAGAACTAAGACAAATGAACTCTTCATTTTGTCCAGATTTGACAAGTGGAATGCAACCAGTGTCTTAAAACACTCAGGAGTACGCCTGAGTTGCCTTCTACTCCATCTGGCAAGTCAGCGCCTCTTTTTATGTTTAGATTTATGTCACTTTATTCTTATCTTTATATATATATATATATATATATTTTTTTTATGGTATGGACTACTTCTACACCAAATTATACAGATAAAACATATATTTGAAGTCCAATTTATTCTTTGAGTATAAAAATTATTTCAAAAATTCAATATAAATTGTCATTGAAAATACATATTAATTAAATATGAACATTATATTATACTGGAGGCTTGCAAAAAATGATTCTAGAATTTATTTGAAAAAAGTAAGAGAAGCAGAAGTGTATGGCTATGCTCATAAAGAAGCCATTCCAGAAATATAAAGATTTATCCCACACAATTATTATTTGCAGATCATCAAGGAATATAAAGTAATTAAATAATGGAGTTGTCACCTGCTTTAGTGGTTCATGTCTCTGATCCCAGCCTTCAGGAGTTTGAGGTCAAAAGAATGTCATGATTTCTAGGATATCCTGGACTATACATTAAATTTTATCCTGGCCAGAGTTGCAGAATGAGATCCTGTTTTCAAGAAACAAATTGCTTTAAATGGACTTTTGTTGCAAGAAGTCACTTGTTTGTCCCAGCTGTCCAGAACCAAAATAATCACACAGAAACTGTATTAATTAAAACACTGCTTGGCCCATTAGCTCTAGCTTTTTATTGACTAACTCTTACCTCTTAATTTAACCCATTTCTATTAATCTGTGTATCACCATGTGATAGTGGCTTACTGGCTAAAGTTCCCAGCATCTGTCTCCAGCAGCTACATCACTTCTCTCTGACTCCACCTTCCTTCTCTCAGCATACAGCCTACCTTTCCCTGCCTAGTTCTGTTTTTCCCAGCCATAGGCTCAAAACAGTTCTTTATTCATTAACCAATAAAAGCAACACACAGACAAAAGGACCTCTTACACCAGAATTTAACACATGAGGCAAGGGTCTACCACTGTATCTGCTTAAAAGTCTGCTGGAAAACAGTAAATTTAATAGTATCAAAAAAATAATAATTTTTTTAAAGCATTGGAGGATGACCACAGGTCTACTGTAACATGAGGGGAGCCTGCTTGGATGGAGGCTGCTTGTTTGTTGGGGTTTTTCTGTCCTCCCACCAGGTCCCCACAATTGTTTAGTCCCAGAGAAAATCACCCACACAGAGGACTCCATAAGTTATAATGCTGATTGGCCCGTTAGGTCAGGCTTCTTATTAGCTAACTCTCACATCTTGATTAACCCATTTTTCTGATCTATTTTAGCCATGTGGCTCAGTACCTTTTTCAGTTGGGCAGCTCACATCCTGCTGCTTTGGTGATCTGGGCAGGAGTGGGGGGAATCAACTTCCTCCTCCCCAGAATTCTCCTGCTCTCCTTGCATCATTTCCACTTCCTGTCTGTTTTTCCCACCTACACCTCCTGCCTGGCCAATCAGCATTTATTTAAATCATGACTGACAGAATACAGACAATTATAAAAGCAACACACAGACAAAAAGACCTCTCACACCAGAATTTAACACATGAGGCAAGGGTCTACCACTGTATGTGCTTAAAAGTCTGCTGAAAAACAGTAAATTTAATAGTATCAAAAAATAATAATTTTTTTAAAGCATTGGAGGATGATCACAGGTCTACCACAAACTAATAAAAAATGTTTGTATTTCCCTTGTTTTCTCTTCGTTTTGTGATACTAGTAAAGATGAGACTCTCAACATTAGGAGAGTCACATGTAGTGTAGTCTAGAAGTAACTATGAGGGCAAGGATGGGTTTAATGGTCCCCAGAAGCCCAGCCAAAGAGCTACCATTTTCTAGCATATTCAGCTGCCTCCTGGAAACCCTCACTAAACATTCATGTACATTAAAATTCACATATACACAAATGTGCAACATTATCCATAAGGAAGTACAAATCTAGCCCACTCTGAAGTAACTACTTAGAAAGTAAAAGCAGATAATGACAAGTGTTGTGGATAATATTGGGAAGTGAAATCCTTTATGATCCACTGGGGAGAATGTAAAACAGGACACAAGCTTTTTTAAATGCTTTGGCATTTTCACTTTGTCATTTCCACCTTTGTAGTAGGAAGAGGAGCGGGCCAGCTGTGTCTCACCACCCAGCTACCTTAAGCCCCCCAAAATAACCACACAGAACTTGTATTGGTTAAATTACTGCCTGGCCCATTTTATCTAGCCTTTTCTTGGCCAACTCTCACATTCTGATTTAACCCATTTCTACCAATCTGTGTTCACCATGAGGTCATGGCTTACTGGGAATGATCCTAACCAGCGTCAGTCTCAGACAGGAAGTTCATGGCATCTGCCACACTGCCTTCTTCCTCCCAGAATTCAGTTCTGTCCTCCCCATCAATCTAAGTTTTGCCTTATCAAAAGACCAAGGCAGTTTCTTTATTCAGTCAATGAAAACAACACAAATACAGAAGGACCTCCTACACCACAACTTGTCACTAAAAGCTTGTGAGTCTAATGCTCATAAAATGATGATTTGAGAAATAAAATAATACTTTAACTTAAATTAAATATTGTTAAGTTCTACAGGTGAAGAACTGGAACTCGACCTGTGAGGGTTTGAAAAGTATGTTAAGTAAGAAAGACCAATTACAAAAGTTCCCATAGTGTATGACTTCATTCATGATTCCGAGCAGACTCAACAATCCAATTTTACCTAATCCAAATTTGGAGAACTAGAAAATATATGAGCTTTGCCAGGGGTTGGACAAAGAAATAGGTACATGGTTCTATAGGAATTCTTAATATATTCAGGGCCTCTTTTTAAATTGCTAGAAATTTTCTACCAACACTCTGAAAAGAAGAAAGAAGTCTTGAGCACAACCTTAGAAGAGTTCTGTAAAATAAGCTCAAGTGGATATTTGACAGCTCTTTGGATTGATGTTATTTAAATTACAACTGTTTTTAATTCCTGTTCAAATATAATTATCACAAATTAAAAATTCTCTTTATTGCTCTGGGGGAAAATCATATACAATTATATAGTCAAGGACTTAAGCTTCAAATTTTAAATACACATTGTCCACTTTATGCATAGTATCTAAATAATTAGAATTTACTAAATAATGCAAGCAGCATTGGGCATATGTCTGATGGCTTTACACAAGCATTCATTGAATTTAAACAGTAATTTCCACTGGCTGTGCTTGAGAATGGTTGTGCATCAAACATAGTCCTCATTATTTCAGCAGGTTTCAGTGGATGTTGAAAGAAGAGAATATAGGAATGATCTATGGATTTAAAATCTCCTCGATGTGACTTGCAAGAGCCTCTTATTTACAGTCAGTACTTTCATCCTCATCTTATAAACATATGTCCAAAATGAGTGGGTAGCTTCCAGGAAAAGCACTAACATTCCTAACATTTTAACTTAACCACCAGCATTTGTAAACTTCTCTGGGATGCCCTAGCAAGAACTATGACTGGCCTTAAACTCTTGGACCTCCTGCCCCATTTCACAGTGCTGGGAATCTAAGTGGACAGCACCACACCCAGCATTGAATTTCTCTCTTGCAAAGACCAAGGATGTTATTCTTAGCCTATTTTTAGCCTAGTACTTTTTATATCCAAACAATCACTAGCAATATATCAATATATTTTATAACAATTGCAATCACTACCCCATATGCTGAAACTCATGGAGTGAAAGAATAGTCTACTTTGTGGTTGTTATGTGGATATTGAGTGGCTAACAGGAAATTATGTTTTCCCTTGGTATAACCCAATGGTAAAAGGAAGTAACAAAAACGCATATATGTTAAAAAGTGTCTGTGTAGAGTGACTTTTCTTCTTTATTTAAAGTGCCATTTTCAGGTGCCCTTGGTCTAATTTTGACAGTCTCATAGTTGGGATGACCATGAAGAAAGTGGCTCTAAAGACAACCTGTGTTGTAAGATATGAACCTCCAATCCAGAGAAAAGAGTGGTAGATAATATTCTGGTTCCACCATACCAACAGCCTCTAAAGAAGAAGTTCTCAAATGTGGGGTCAAATGACCCTTTCACAAGAGTCATTTAAGACTATTATAAAACACAAATATTTGTGCTACAATTCATTACAGCAGCAAAATTAATTATGAAGTAGCAACATAAACAGTTTTATGGTTGGGAGTCATCACAACACGAGAAAATGTATTAAAAGATTGCAGCATTAGGAAATTTAAGAATCACTCCTTTAAAGAAAGGTTGAAGAGAAAAATCCCATCACCCACACGGACTATAAGGACCTTGAATCTAGAAATATAATTCTACATTGTAGATAATATTTCTGGTTTGCCATACAGTCTTCTCTATAACTTACAAGCTATATGATTTTGGCTGAGGCTTATATTTTCTCATATAGAAAATAGAATGTGCAATCAACTCATGAGGATTATTGTGAGCTTTTACTGGTAGTATATATGGAGATTATTTATCACAGTGGCAGGCACACTATAAACACACATTGTTTATTGACATAGTAATAAACTATAACTATAAAGATTACTATGTATACTCAGACTGTTAATAATGTATCTACAGGAAATAACCTTTGAAATACACTATAAAACTTATTAAAGAATTTTCATGCAAAGATTAATTAAATGTTTGTTGCATCTATCTATAATTCCAAAGTGCTTATGATTTAGATACATGCAAATTTATATACCTTATGTAAAATATGTCAAGTTCAAAGTTCTGTTAAATATTATATTCGAGAATACATTTTAAAAATTAACTTTTAGCAAAGGCTGAAAATTTGTATTCAAATATATCTATGAATAATATGAACCAAGGGCTGGAGAGATGACTCAGAGGTTAAGAACATTCATAATCACGAGGACCAAAGCTCAGGTTACAATATTTCACATGTCTAGACAGCTTACTACAAACTCCAGTAATGATAGCTATAAAAAAATCTGATGTGCTTTTCTGTTCTCTTTGTACACTCAAGAACATGAACTTGCACACACATGTATGTTTTTCTCACACACATGCATACACGTGAAAAATAAAATATAGAAAATATGAACCCAATCATAACTCATTGTAAATAGAGTGCCATGGAAAACATTAGATCTTACTTAATACATTCTGCCATAGTGACAAGGTAAATTAGGAAACTGAGTGGCTGGAAAGCAGTTTGACATACTCATGCTTTCGATGGGTGATAGCAGGTGACAGACTCAGAATAGACAGAACGTCTATTGTGTTCCACATTCTGCATATAGTTGGGAAAGAGGTGTAAAGCATTGAGATGCCCAGGAAATATAAATCAAGATTAGTAACCTTTATTGAAGACAAAAAGAAGATTATATAGGTTTTAGAAGGAATTACTGAGGGCTTGTAAGTGATGAAACAGTTGATGAGGTTCAAATACAGTTCTAGGACACAGGAAACACTCAAAAGGACACAGTAATTGTATTAGTAACATAGTTTCAAGGGTGATGATATTGAGAGATGAAGAGGCGTGTGTGTATGTGCATGTGTAGTCAGAGACCATTTATTTGTTCCCAGCTGC